CCCCAAAACCCCAAAACCCCAAAACCCCAAAACCCCTATTTAAGCGATATTAGTTGAAATTTATTAGTTTGAGGGATAAAGCCCTTTCTCTTTTATAGCTTTAAACACAATTTTTGCGTTTTGGTTGAGTTGTTTCCTTCTCTTGACAATCTCTTTGAGCTTGGACACAATTGTTTTTCTGTCATTCTCATCTGCCTTTTCAAGCATGTTCTGAATGACATAGTTACCAAACTTATCTCAGAGCATAACTTCAAGAGGACAAGAAGTGGATTTCGAAGACTTTAATATAGTTTTAACAAAATCCTTTCTTTGAGAGTTAGAAGTAAACTTGAAACATCACTCAATAACATTGCTAGCATATTTATTAGTTGAATAATGCAGTAAGTCTTCTTTCAATATACCTATGAGCCTTTTCTTATACTTAGTCTTCCCATTTTTAAGGATGGATTGGCATACGTAATTGCCTGATTTGTCAACAGCGAGTTCTTTTGCCATAGGTAAGATCTCTTCAACAATATTATCAACTTCTTCGCATTTACAAAACTCGATCATTTTCTCTATGACTCTGCAGCCATATTTGTGGGTCGAGAAGGCATAGATGTTCTCTCCAACTTCTTCAATGATGAAGTCAAGATATTTCTCAGGTATAAATTCAATAGATTTTTGAATTACGTGGTTGCCATTTCAGTTGTAAATTAACTTTTCGACGTTCTCATGGAGTTCAGAAATCAGCTTTAATCTTGTCTCGCTCTTGAGATTCTCAAGTAATTTTTGAATGATCCTGCAGGCATAGTCCTCCATTGACATTGAGACCATTGATCCTATCAAATTGAGGGCGAAGAATTCTTTCTGGTGCTCTGGCCCATTTTCAAAGATCTTCTGGATGACATAGTTTGCGAACCTATTGACAATTAAGTCTTTCCAGGAATCTTTGATTTCTTCAAAGATCTGCTCCTTTTCCTCTTCGGAAGTGGTATAGTACGCATCCTGGACGAACCTGGATCCTTTTTGGTTTTTAATAATTTCAGGAAGTTTGTCCTGTCCTAAGATCTCAGCGATGACGACATCGCTGTGTGAATCTGATAGTCTGGCTTCCAGATTCTTGACAAAAATGCTTTTGGAAGACTCGCCTGATTTGAACTTAGGCGCTGAGATTTTAAGCTTAGAGTCGAGTTTACCTTTCGAGCGTAGTTGTGAAGGACAGGAAATCCTGCTAGCAGCTGGGAAATCCCTATTCGGATATGCTCAGAATTGATTATTGTAGTTACTGGTACCAGTGGTCGATACCATATTGGTGGAAGCAAACTTCATATGGTCTTGTCCCCCTGGAGAGCTGTCAAACGCGTTTTTCTCCTTTTGATCAAATGCAGCAAAAATATTGCTCCCTGAGTTATAGTTGTAAGGGAAATCTACTTCAGGAGACTTAAATTCCTCAGGTTGAGGCGCCCGATAATATTGAGCATTGTGAACTCCGTTGTAGTTGTCAGGTGAATGAAATGGAGAGCTGTTCGCAGCATGATATTCCCTCTGATCAACCTGATCAAAGGGAGAATAAGGCTGTTGGTAATAAGGATAACCCATATGAGGTGTAGAACCAAATTCTTGAGCATAAGCAGGAGTGTTAAAGCTTGGTGTGGGTATCGGGTTAGATATTCAGAAAGGTTTAGTATTATCACAGCTTTTATTTTCAGGTTTGTCGTCAGGAAACCTAAATTCTGAGCTATTTGCTTCCATGCTAAAACCAAAGCTCTCAAGACTAGTTTCTTTGAAGTTCTTGTTCTGAAGCTCTGCTTGTTTATCAGCAGATTCAAATTGGTCGAAGGTTGGAGCATAATTTCCTGAAGAGTATGGGTTGGTTTCCTCATGAACAAGCTCCTTCTTGTCATCTAAGAGTCTGGCCATGTCGTCGCATATGAGCTGTTCGTCAATGTTGGCTTTCTTGAAGTTAAGTCCAAAAGCATTCTCTTCTGCTTCCTTCTTATCTGATTCATCAAAGATGCTCATAATGAATGAAATAATATTATTTTAGTATTTCCATTGTGACGAAAACATAAGGGGTTTTGGGGTTTTGGGGTTTTGGGGTTTTGGGGTTTTGGGG